GTCAGTGCTTCTGTCTTTAGTTCCTAGCAACTCTGACTGAGATTCTGCCTTTCCTGTTAAAACAATCCAGAGAAGCTGAGGAGTAATTTGTTGTTCTTCCTTGAGATTTACATCATCTGTAATAACTAGGAAAATCTTAATTATAGGCAGAAGAAATCTTTTGAAATTGGACTAGCAATAGAAATACTCTGGGAAGACACTTGTGTCTTTTAAAGCAGAGGGTCGCCCTGTATGCATCCTTGCATGGGTTCCTCTGTGTTGACAGCCTGCTGTTGTAATAACTTATAATAATCCAGTCATCCCTTATGCATGTATACTAGCATGTTCTTGCAAAGCTATTCCTCCCTTGAAGTCCCGCTTTTTGGAGATACCTTAATAAAATACTTCTAGGCACCAAAAGGCGTGTTCCTTAACAGCTGAGTTTACCCAGTTCTGTTTAGCCAGTTCTTCTGTGAAATAGAAGGTCAGGTAGCATTTGTTTAGAGACATCTATTAATAGAGAAAGGATTAAGCTATTTAAACAAAAGTAACCCCTTCCAGTCATTAGCCAGAAAACTTGCAATACGGCTTTTGAATGAGGAAGAGGAGAAATGAGTATCAACTTCAGGTGACATGTTCAAAGAGGATTTTTAAAATTTATCATCTGGTGCCATTTTATTTATTGAAAATGGGTCGGGGCTTAAAGGATATAGGTGCTTGTTAAAGCCAATGGGTGCCTTTCTGCAAGTTTGGAAGCTTTCAGTATGACATTAGATTCTGGCCAGAACCTGGTGAGCCTCAAAAAAATTACTTCAGCTTCCCAGAGGATGACTGTGCATAATCTGCAATAAATATCCAATGTGTCTCTCTATGTACAAGGATTCCACATTTACTGAGCTGACTTCCACTACCTCTTACACACATGGCTTTTGTACTGTATGCCTGAGAACCACTGTAATTACATACTGTTAGTGTTCTGTGTTTATTTCTGGAGGTTATTTGCTTGTATCATGTATATCTCTGGTACTGTAACATTTACCTTTGCAACCTCAGTTCTAAGTGGGGCACAATAATTTCTATAATTGCAAACGGTATATTGATTTTGTCTTTAAGCAACAAATAAAAGTCTTTTTCTTAAACTTGTGTTTGCAATGGAAATTTCTGGACATAATTTAGTATTTCAGAGTACAAAAATAACCGTCTACCTGCAGGCTAGCTCCAAGGAAAACCACTGGTGCAGCAGCTGTGATCAGCTGTATGAAGTCCTTTGGCCTGTTCAGAGTGGGTGAAAATACTGAAAAAGGCATTACTTGGTGGAAGAGATGACTCTGTGAACCATCAGCTTCCCCTGTAAGTGTAATGCCTGCAGCTGCCAGCACCTACAGGGAACAGGGAGAGCATAAGGGTTTATGTGAAGTGACACAAGCACTCAGTCTGCATATTAGTAAACACACTTCCATGTGTCAGCAATACCTCACTTGCAAAGGCTCCTGTAAACTTGTATAGGAGAGCAGGTATTGCAGAGTGCAGATGTGAACCCCTTCTCTGCTGAATGCCATGTCAAGCCAATGCTTTAGAAATAAGAGAAAAATACTAGCACAAAACTCACGTGGGAATTTGGAATGGTTTGATGTTGTGTTAATTCTGGGTCTTCATCTTCACCCTTTTAGCAAATAAAGGTTCTGCTGCCATAGATGGGTTTTGATGAAGTAAAGCTCAAAAACTCTGTTGTAATTACATCCTTATCTTTATATGCTTAGACTCAGTCAATGGGTACAAGATAAAAGATCTCTGAAGTCTTTTAGGGCTGTAATTACCAGGGTATCAGAAAAAAATATAAGACCTTGCATAACAGTACAAATCAGTATAGCTTTATGAGGGGGCAGTCTCTATTGGTCTCAGTATTCAGTAACTGAACTATTCTATTGAGACATATTTGGCTTTCGACAGACAGGATACACAAAATGAAATCTCAGCAATAAGAATCTCAAAGTCAGCTTCACGTTCAACCACTTTAAAGCAAACAGCAAGCCTACTGGCAAATATTCCCCTCCCATAATTCCTGTCCACAATAAGATGGTCAGGAGTGTTTTTCCTTAATACTTCTTTTTCCGGTGCTCCTGTTGGAACAAGTGACTAAGGGCTGACTCCAACAGGGAAAACTGGAATGCCAACTGTATTTACATTTCTAAAAAACAAAATGCTGCTTCAGCTAGCTCATATGAAGGACTTTATTTTTAGAACTACTGAATGAACACCGGTCTCACAGAGTTCAAAGCATAGTAATATTCAGTATGAGATGCTTTACCTGAGGAAAAAGGACAGAAAATGTAATTTTAATGAGTTAAAGATAAAACACACAAGATGAGAGAATGTCACATCAGAAGTCTCAATATAAATTCAGGAGCTGAGCCTTAGCCTCAGCTAAGTAGCAGTCATAAATGCACACCCTATTGAAAAATACTTTCCATATGTCAAATCTTTTGTTTACATTAACCCAGGGGACTGCAACATTAAAAAGTCAGACTGACTGCAGTTAAATTTCCTCAGAGGGGACCAATAAGTACTTGAGAGCACGAACTTCCCTGTTCAAAACCAATTTGCAACAGGCTGCTGGTTTGAGAAGACAACATGAGAGCTTCTTCCAGTGGGACAGAGGATTATGGCAGATGAAGTTCACTCTCCATGTTGGCCTCTCCTAAGCAGACCAGGCTTTAAACCAACCCAAAACTCAGAGCAGTATTTGCTCACCGTGATGTGGTAAGCCAGACTTTGTACCACTGCCTACATAGACTCTTTACGATAGCCCTTTGATTTCAGCAATTTAAAAAGAAAAATCCCACCCACCTCCACCACCATTTGGCTGCTTTCTATCTGATGCATACGGTTTAAGTTGCTCTTCCTAGAAAGTAAATACCATGGTGCAGATAAGGAGGACAATTATCTCTGGGTTTTAATTCACCATATCCTAGAAGTAAATGTACATAGATGAGTTAACTCAGAGCATGTTTAGTAATACTTCCACTGTTAAATGTTTTTACGTATTTATATATGACCAAAATCCTGGTAAAGTTTGTAAACCTGATCAAGTTCCCAGATGTCTTGGAGACAGATATTTGTCTTCATTTTTTTTAAGGTGATGTCGTTAGACAGGAATAAGACCAGTGCAATTCACCTGAACCTATTAGGATAAAAAGGTGCAACTGAAATCAGAAAGTGGCTTTCGGTTGGTTGTCTTTTTTCTTTTACTGTAGCGAACCTGTCTAGCTCCATTATGTCATCTTACGGTACCAATTAAATACATATTCTTATCCATATTCATTAAGGGGCCTATGCAATCCCTGACTGCTTAATAAAAGACAAAAACTGCAGCCAAAATCCTGGAGAGCAGAGCCTGCTTGGAAGCATGCCGAACATGCGCAGTGGCTGCTGGCAATTCAGATGATGCATTGATTGCATCAGCCAGAAAAGGTTGTATCTTCAGGTTAAATAAAACTTCAAACCACCAGCTTGTAAAATCACTTCTATTTTTATGTCATATCATAGAAAATAATAGACAGTCATTTTGGCCAAGAACTTTTCTCTCAACATCAGAGAAAACACTCACGGAAAAGGGAAAAAAATGCAGCCCAGAGCTTAACTGAGGATTTAAACTCTTTGTGCGTGCAAGACAGTACAAGAAAACTAAAACAGAAGTAATGATTTTGCATCACTATTTAGTATAAAAGCCTGGACAACTCCTTACCAGCTATACCATCCTGTTCTTTATCTGCGACAGTCAAGCTAGCTAAATAATGGAAACAATATTCACTAGATAATTTTCTAAAAAACTGCAGTGGAATTCATTGGGGGCATTATTTAATTGATGTTTCTGGTCTTGCTATCCATGTCTTTGACAGTGGTATGTTACTATTGGGAGGCACAACTTACATCAGTACAGATGGTTTCTCACATGTACTGAATTCCCCAACATGAGCTATGGCGTGGCCTTTCTCACGGTCTGCGTTACTTCCTAGTGGAACAACTTAGGTATGGTTGTCTTCTGCCACCCAACTGCTAGTTAGCACAGTCACACGTGGTTTTAGCAGTTGCTGGCTTTTCAGCACACTGGATGGCTGCACACCCAAGGAGGATTGAGGAGAAGAAAAATAATCAGCACTTAAGTGAAGGAATGATGTCCACATCAAGGACACTGCCCTGACCGTATGTTCCACTTACTGAAATGTTCAGTCAACAGCAATCTTGGCTGTGTATGTGTTCAGTAGGAAGAGGAAGACAAACTCTCCATTATAACAGCAGTAACTCAATTTGTGCGTCTCAGCTTTCCAATTCAAAGCTAATGGAATTCCTGAACCACAACTGGAAATAAATGAGTGTGTTTCACTACCAGGAATCTCCTTTCCAAAAACACTTCCCAAAAGGTCATCACACAATAAAAATTTTAAGTGTTACAACTTCAAAATCTAATATAATTTAGGTATTTTCCTAACTATTCTGCTTCCAAAATGATTTAAACTTGCTTTGAAAGGTAGGGATTATAAAGGAACCTCAAACTTCCAAAACCACACTGCTGCCATGAGACTACTTAAACAAATGCACAGACGTTATTTTTAACAACTTTATTGGTTTAATAAACGTCGTTGTACAAAATTTGTCTCTGGAACAACATAACAGCAAGAATTACACTGTAATTATATTTTGTTTACCGTATTTTAGTGGGGGGTGTGTGTGTGTGTGTGTGTGCATACAATTTACTATTTTTCCAGAAAATAAACGTTCCCAAAATCTGAAATAGCAGCACAACAATATTCCTTGTCTCACAGCAAGAACCAGAAATACAAGTCTCTCATTTTTCCTCCATTTCATTTGAACCAGAGGGTGACAGCACTATACTGATAAAGCTTATTTTTTCATTTATATGCCACCTAACTGCAACTCTTTACAAAACAGCTTCAGAATAACAGCAGTAAAACCAGAAGGATAAGAAAGTATCTGAAAGGCTCCGTGGCTTAATACTTTCAACCACAGTAATAGATGGCTGAAACTACAAGGGGAACTTCCATCCCAGTACAAATGCACGAGTCATAAAATCAAACCGTCACGTTTTTCGTTCCTTGAAGAAGTCTGTTCCTTTCAACTCTTCTGGCAGATAGTCCTGCTCTACAGGTTCCGTGTACATGGGGTTATACTTATAGCCTTTACCATAGCCCAAGTTCTTCATGAGCCTTGTTGGGGCATTTCTCAGGTGCAGCGGAACAGGCGGCAGAGGTCCCGTGTGCATTCTCAGACATTCTTTGACATTGCTATACGCCCTGTATACCTCTATAGACTTTGGTGCTCTGGCAAAATACACTACACATTGTGCTAGAATAACCTGGAAAGAAGAAAAGGGAGAACGTTAAATAACTTCTTTTAAGCTCTTTGGGAAAAGGTCTGTTACTCAGGTTGTTGTGTAGTATGACAGGGATTATGTTTTTAAACTGAACTCTGCCTGCTGCTGCAATATGAATATCATTATTTAACAACAACACAGTTCTTCGTGATTTTCGCTACTAGAAAAGAATAGCTAATTTAGAACATCAGAATATATTATTTTATTTATAACAAAGGAAAAAATGGACAGAGCAAAATTACATTAGTTCACATACATTTTAACAGCAAAGACGCAGGGGATTTCATTTTAAACTACAGCATCTATTTTAAGAGCTACGATGGTCTCTCACTTGTCAGGGAAGGGGTGTGCCGAATGAACAAGTAACTAAATTTGTCTTGTCCTTGCAATCTCTGTTTCCCTTTATAATTACAACTAGGTTTTACAATTTGCAGTACTTTCAAATCCATGAATTAATGAAGCCTTTACCTCACATTCTGGCATTCCAATAAAGTGACAGCCTTGATAAGCAGCAACTGCCTGTGTTAAAGCCAGAGGATCTGCCAGCCCTACAAAAAGGGATCAGATAAAAGCAGGTTAGTCAGTTTACTTTAGTTACTGCCCTTTTTTTTTTTTTTTTACACCCACCGCCCCCTCCCCCCGTCAGAGGGAAGGTTATCTATGCACATTTCAAAGTTTCTTTCTCAGATGTTGGAACTTCTGGTACAATACTTTGCTGTACATAAGGTGTAGTCCCTCCATCCACAGCCTTCCTCCTTCTGCCCCTCCCACAAAAAGAAAGGTCTAAATCATGAGTACGATTTACAGTCTGTACCTGTTGCCACATGGTGGCAACCTGAAGAGCAGCTGTCAGTCTACAATTCACCTACTTTTTTGGAAGTGAGAAAGAAATGGGGAAATACTGCTATATAGACATAGCTGCCCCAGATCTCCTAACTCTTCACCCATCACATATGTGCTAAAAGTGTTGCTGCATCTATTACTTTGGGTACCTCAATCAAGATGTCTTACAACTAGGAAGCCAACTATCAAATCTGAAATTTGCAAGTCAGGGTAAGCATTGGCTTTCCTCAGTCATTAAAACACAGACATCCCTGAAACCCACATTTTCAGTCACACAAATTTACTGGTGAACTACAATCACCAGGCTTTAAAAGACTCCATATTAATACACTGCCAATACTTGACCTCAAAAAACCTTTTGTTTCTCCTGCAATAGGTAACCATCACAATGACACCATGTGTCTCCGCATATACAAAGTTTTTGTTGAATGTGGAGCATTTCAGTATTTTGTACCTATTTTGCAGAGAGATGTTTTGGGGTTGTTTTTTTCTCAGACGCAAATTTTTGGAAACCAGAAGCCTAGCAGATCTTCATTCAACATAATATTGCAACATGAAATACTGCAAATACTGACCTATATCTTCACTTGCAAACCTCACCAGCCTTCTCGCCACATAGAGTGGATTCTCACCACCTTCAAGCATTCGAGCAAGCCAGTAAAGGGAAGCATTTTCATCTGAGCCTCTCATAGACTTATGCAGCGCAGAGATGCAATTGTAATGTTCTTCTCCTATTTAGAATGGGGGAGAAGAGATACACAAAGCTGTTAGGAGGAAATTAAGTGAAATGCATTTAAGGGAACAGAATACATTTTACTAGATCACAGCAGGTAAACATAACCTGCTTTTTCAAGTTCTTTTTATGTACACGCGATTATGGTGCCCATTAGTGTTTTCAACACCTTTGTGCTTGGCCACATGGATCATCCCATGAACTACATAAGCATAACAGAGCAACTGCAGACGGAAAGGAGGGTGTTTTTTCAAACATTGCAAGGTGAACAATTTGGTTTTGGTACCCTAACAATCCTTTCTTCAAAACAAAACAAAAAAACGCGTATTTTAAGCAGTGAGGAAGAAGCCTCTATATAAATATCTCCTAACTGACAAAGAGTAAAGTATGAGCACATACAAACCACTGACCATTGCTTTTGGATAGGCACACAGCTCTGAGAAGACAACAGAGGAATCGGAGAAATCCAGTACTAAACACTACTGATATTTTAGAAAAAGACATTTCACATCAACTAAAACTTGAAGTGTGGAGTAAATCAAACATGAGTTTGCTGTATTATATAGGGAAAAAAAGGAAACGTTGCTGCTGAATATATAACGATGGCACATTACACAATCTGGAGGAAACAGGATCGCAACACACAACCCTGGCAAACCCCTAAGAAACACTGAGTTCAGCTGTGAGCACTTGCACTACCGGAAGGGTCCCCAAAAATTGTAAGCAGCTGAAATAAAAAAAAAACCCACAAACAGAACCTGAAATACCAGACTACTGAATAAGGAGTGGGAAGACTGAACGAATTGCAATGACATTTTTTTTTAACATTAAAGTTTAATATAAGATTAGATATGGACTCCAAGGAGAGACAAAGCCATTCCACAGATCTTTCAGCGCTACAGTTAAAAATAAATGGTCAACATTATAAACACTGAATAAGACCCTTCAAGACCCTGCCTGCAATTTTTCTCTGTGCAGCTGGTTTTAATTCTCATGCATTTCTTTTAATCAAACTTCTAAGAGTATTCTGCTGCAATATTGTTGTTACACTTTCTACACACTTTTTTTTTTTTAAATTATTTTTTAAACTGCCTGGCATTCCTTGGCTCACAGCTAACTATGTATTATAAAGGCAATTGGCTGCATGCACAACCATCTGTTAGTGTTTCTCTTCTTCCTACATCTAAAAGGATTTACAGCCCAAGGGCTGTATCACACCACATCACCATTGCTCATAGGCCCTGCAAAACAAAAGGACACACGCATGAGTTTGAAAACGAAAGCCCCCATTACCGCTGCAATTGCTCCTTTCAAAGCAGCAAGACCTCCACCTCCCAGGTCAGAAACTGGGTCCATCTTCCTGCGCCGCTGCTCGTGCTGCAGTGCAGTTCTGTGGGGAATTCAACACACGCACTGCCGGCGTATGCAGGCTGGCAGACAGCTATTTTTGCTAGGACTCCACACAAAGAGCCCTGTGGTATGCAGCCATCACTCCTGCCAACACAAACAGCGTGTCCATGCTCTGTCATAACACTTGAGTTAGTAGCAATAAACCCAAGCAGCTGAACTCGCATCACCCTCTCTGAAGAGGCGTCTCTTTGTCTCTTAAAAGTAAGGAAGACGGCCTTTAAATATCTCCAGAGGTTCCTCTCGACAACATTTTTTTGCTGGAGTGCTTTTATACACTGTTTGGGCTACTGTAATGTGTTGTACTTGGGGATACCAGATGGAGAGGCAGAAGGAATCCAGCAGATAAGTTGGGACTAGAGATACATAAGCAGGGGACTTTAGAGTATGCAGGCTGAGAAAGGGAACAGTTTTCTCCCTTTAACTCCTTCCTCACAAAGTTAATGTTGGTGACTGAGTCATCAACATAATGACAATACTTACAGACCAGACTTGGACTTCTTCAGAAAAATGGTGCAGTTGTACTTTAAATGCAGTTTCAATTAAAGGTGAAATACAGTTACATGCATTGGACAAAGATGTTTTGTGTGTCTTTTTTAAAAAAGACAGTTTATATATATTCTATGTGAGACACCAGAAGCAATTTGAAAAAAAATCAGACAGAACTTTTTGCAGGCCTCTATTTATTAGCTGTCTCTCAAGCTGGTTAGCCAACATACAGATTTCAGCCTTTTCAACACAGCTGAGACAGACACATGCCAACTTATCTGATATCACTGCTGTTCTGCATCCCAGATGCCTCTTTAACTCAAAGCTCTAAAGAGTTTTTGGAATCAAAATACATTTGCTCTATGCAGTTCCCACAAAGGCAAATACCTTTCCAAAGAGAAACAGGATACTACACAAGAGGCTCTGTGGAAGACAGGATTTTCTAGTGTCTAATGTATACAGATGCATAAATCTTGTTGATTTATGCCCCTAAATTGCTTTATGTGCTTATGAAGAGTTTTCCAGTTAATTTAAGACGTTGATTTACTGAAAGTCTTTTTGGTAGAAGACAGGGAAAAGGCCTCATTCACCAACCATAATTAACATCTGGACTTCTTAAGCAACCCCTATTTATAAGGCAGTGGGCAAAAGTAAGATCACAGTCCACACCTCACACTATCAACTGCTCATTGATAAAGGACAGATGAAAGCCTTGGAAGAAAGACTACAGCAACAGCATGGATAAAAAGACTTGTCATTCTGGTCCAGCAGAAAACAATAAAGCTGGCAAAAAAACATTATGGTGTGAGACACCTTCTCTTTCCTCCTCCATAGAGGAGGAAGGAACAACCATGTTCCAGATTACAGAACAAATTCACTTCAGATGAACAATTCCCAGTCTTTATCATAACTGAAGCGATGTTACCACACAGACAGTGAGACAAAATCCTGCAATTATTCTGATATTTACCTTTGGTATTTGCTATTAAATCAGTGTTAGCAGAGAGACACAATGCATAAGAGGAAAAAGAGACAATACAACTCTATCTTAAAAAAATCTATTCACTGTCCATCTGCAGTTAAACTTTAATTGATTTGGTTGCTGCATCATTTTCTTCAAAAGTCAAAATTTAAAAAATTGCAATTAAAAGCTAAAATATGACTAAATGGTTTGTTTCTGGCAGTGAAATTTGACTAGAGCTGTTTCTTTGTTCTTCCAGCTAAAATGCATACATTATCTGCATAAAGATATTGTCTCTACATGTCTGCACACAGATCAGAACAACAGCCTGACTGGATCATGAACAATTTCCTTCTTAGAGTACTTGGTGAAAGTACATAAAAGAATGCCTAACTATGTATATCTGGCAAATTTTGTGGAAGGTGACAAAAAATAAATAATTATGTAAAATCAAAATTTCATATTTATACAACTTGAATTGAACACTAATTATTTGCTGCTTTCTACATGAACACACTACACTCAAACGTATGCTGCTGCTATCATGATTAGACAGCATCATGTCCCTCCACTTTATGAGGCTGAAGCACTTTATATTAGAGGACTGTAGATTCCACCACAACCAACTATGATTCAAAAAGTATTAGCTAAAACATGCTACAAAAGTATCTTTATTTATACAGTAGCCTCTGTCCAGAAGCCTTTTAAACATAAAAGCACAAACAACTATCTCTACTGTGGACAAAAGTGGTCAACTGAGACACAGACTACTCCACAGAAGAGGCGAATTTTATAAAGGCACGTACTCAGGCAGTCTGCTACTGTGACAGTACCTGTGGCAGGCTCTTTGGCATTTGTACGATCAAGAAAAACAGAATCTTCATCCTTCTCTGAAAATCTCTGACAAAAAGAAAGCCCTAGACAGAGCTCAAAGGATTTGTCACAGAGAAGGTGCTGACACATGCTACCTAGACTCGACGCAAGCCTCAGGAAGAGGCACTCTGTGCCATCTCTAACACAGTGTAGGAGGGCTGGGAGCAATGGACACAGCCAAGAGCTCTGCGTGACACTGGCCACAAGGCGACAGCAAACACACAAGGGACCTACACTGCGCAAGCAACTCTCACCTGTGAACTGGTCAGATTTTCTGTTTCCTCCTAATCATGACTTCTTCCTGCCACAGACGCCATACAATTTTTCTCCCCCAGCCTACCCTCGACTTCCTAGCTGCCATTATATCGATATCTGCCCAGCTGACTTTTTGCTGACAATGAGCCATCTTTCCTCTTTGTAGCAAGAAGGCTGCGAGCAGGCATACACGTTACAAACCACCTCGAGAAATCTCTCATCACAGGTTTTGAGCAGTGACAGTTAATTGAGCATATCAGATACAATGGCAAAATAGATGTCAATTAGTTTTCCAAATACTGCTTGGTGTAACCTTTTGATACTATAACTGCACAGTGATTCAAGTGTTGCTGAAGAACTAGCATATGTGTTCACAGGGATTCACCTAATTTCTAATATTCACTCTCTGATTTTTAACCTCTCACATAAAATGGTACAGCTGCCAACTATTCTGATGCCTAACACTGCCAAGTCACAAACTTAGCAGGAGCGGTTACCACATTAGGAAGCCTTAAATGCAGCTAAATTTATGGGGCCTGCCCTAAGCAAGCTACAAAATTCACTACCTTAAAAAGCAACTCTAAAAACAAAGCAAACTGCTCAGGTTTTCACATAACATGTTGTGGTGAATGTGAGCACCTCCAAGACTGTCCAAGGAGTAGAAGTGCAATGGAAGATTTCCAGCCCTCCAAGAACAAATCTCCCATCAAATCAGTTCTCCCTCTTTACATTGCAATCCTCATAGAAGACAATATTCTAATAACCTTAAAGAACAAATAATTTCACCATATAACTGTTTGCAGGGTAGCAAATGCATCTTTCAGCTAATGTATGCTTCCTGAGTGGTAAGACGAAACCCTGTTTAGAAGGAATTTCTGGGTGAGCCTGCTACACTTTAAAGGAGAAGTAATTTTTAGGCCAAATTTCAGTACAACCACTGTTTCACCAGAGCAGCTAGTATGAAAGGGGGAGAAGAAACAGAAATTACAGAGGCTATCAGCTCTTGAGAATGCTCTCAGGTACTCACCTGCTCGGTCATATAGGATGTGAGATCGCTGTAGCCCTTCCTTTACGTGCTCTTCTGTTATCAGAATGCCATCTGCACAACCGCCTTTGGTAACATTCAGAGGAGTGGTCTTCCCTGCTGCTAATCTGGCCTGAACTGCTAACTGGAGTCCGTTCAGTCCAGTCCTTGCATCACCGTCGCAAAGGTAGGCTAGGGTATTTAGAGCTTTCTCCTCTATGTATACCAGGAATCTGCAACAGAATAACCATATAACGTCAGCCCCATCACGCTCCTCTCCTTGCATATTATGCTAGAGATGGCATTTCTTTACCAAGTTTCTTGAGAGGCAGCTCAGGGTTTAGGTTTTGTTCTTAACTCCTGTTATGATTAAGCGTTGCAGAGCCTGGTAGAACACTGTGGGACCCGACCCCTCTTCCTCCTGCCCCAATGCCTGTTAAATACAATTGCACATGAAAAAAGGTAGGGCAGGGGCTCTCATCTGTTTAACCCCATTATTTTCCCTCATCTCATTAAGTTCCACGGAAACTAGGGTTAAGGTTTTGCCAGAGCACAATTCTGGCACAGCCAGTTGAATTTTAAAAGGTTTTATTCCATCATCATTTCATAGCTAGCACTTCAAATTCCTTACTGGAAGGACCATGAAAAGGTAGGAAGCTATGCAAACGCACAAGAGAATATAGTGAGGTATAAAGAAATTAGCATACAGTTTTGAACTAACTACCAACAGCAAGAGCTGCTGTCAAATGTTTTTAAAAAGCAACAATTTGAAAGATTGTTTACACTGTAAAGCATATATGCATCCTACATTCTTTTTTTTAAAATGGTAACAGATATTACCACTTAGTCACTGGGATAAAAAAATGTCTTACTAGAAACAAAAGGCATCCCAGTGCATGCAAATCACTGTTCTTGCCATCTACTACTCTAAGTGTGCCAGGACTATACAACACCTGAAAAAGGCCAAATTCCAGCAAACACAGAATCTAAATGAACAAGATGGGAAGAGTTGCAAAATGCAGAGGCAAGTGAAAGATCTCCTGAGGTCTCATAGCGGGTCTATGAAAAACCTGTGAAAGTAACAAAGTCCTCAGGCTCTTTCTCCAGGTTTTTCATCTGCCAGGCTGCAGTCCTCACTGTCAGGGCATGTGCAAACCAACTGGCCTCTGCACATTTCACATGCGTACTCTTGAGGATGTGACCCTCCAATTCTAGTTATGTAGACAAGGTAACGGCTAAGGTGTTTGTCAGGCACAGGGCACAACTGATTTGATTTGGAAACAGCAGCTAGTGGAGATAAAGCATGGCACTAAGCAACAGCCCTGACTTAGTCATTTCTAGTTACTGGACTGAAAATCAAGAGTGACATGTATCAGTGGAGATTAACATGCAGAGCTTGGTGTGAGAGGCAATTTCTTATGAAGCCCTTGTGTGCCAAATAATTAAGGATTCACAACAGCCCTGCATGTCATTCACCAGAAAGATTTATTACTGTTATTACCAGTGGTGTATAAAAAGGCAATGCCAGGGTTCCCAGACACACATAACCACTAATCTTCATTACTTGCCTCCTCTTCCTCCTTGCAATCCCACTTTACACTTGTCACACAAAAGAAAAAGTCAGTAGGTGCTGAAAAAATTTTAACACTCAGTATTTGAGCCCTCTCACGCCCACACATAAGGAAAAATCTCGTAGAGATGCAATCTTAAACCACACCACTGCAAGTGAAGGCCGACAAACGTCTTCTTGGGCCACAACTCATGCTGCAGAGAGTAGGCAGCATGAATCACATTCAGGAAAAATGAATCTATCTATACACACATATGCATCTCATCATATTTTTATTTCCATCTCCTCATTTCACATGTATTTGATAAAGCTAGAAAAAAAAATTAACATGCACACACAGTGGCATTCCAAAATAACTACACTTTCTCCAAGGTGTTTCAAACACCATCTTTGTGTTTGAACAGGGACGCAGAAGAATGTAACAGCATAGGGACTTATTCAGCCAAGTATCTACTGCAAATTCCTTGAAAATCAGGGATCAATGTTCACCTCTCAGCACTACAGATGGGCACCAGATTTTTCTATATGTAATGAAAGAAGCCAGCCAAGAAAGCAAATGTTATTTTTAAAAACCCAGCAGGCATTACACACAGACATCCTGCTGCTAATATCTCCATCCACAGGGACAGACAATTATTTCAATACCTTGGCTTCCAAAAGACAATCACTGTATTTTACATTTTTAAGCCCATCCCGTCTTCAAGTGCCCTACACCCTTCCACTTTACCTGATTTCTGCACACCCTAGAACTGCAAGGCAAAGTAACTCCCATGATTTCTGACCTCTTCCCAAGCTCCTGATCCTCTTGCAGATGGGTAACCTCATATTTTTTTCACTCTCCAAAATTAACACTGAACACCCACTGGAGGCCAATGCTTAATGTTGGTACCTTGTAACTGATGATACTTGGAAACAAAAACATAAACAAGCCAAAAGGGATGCCCTGGGATCCATCACTCACTGAGCTGAAGGTGACAGAGTCGCTTAAGGAATGGAAAACTACCACTACAGGATAGTAAATCCTTCTTCCAATTCCTCCTTATCTCCATACTCTCAAGACAGTTTGCGCCAAGAACCAACATGAAACATATGATGAACTACCCATAAAACTTGTACAACACTGCAGCGTTTGATTCAATGACAAGATGGTGTAAGCAGTATCAGAGAGCAAATACAAGTAAGTCCAAGCAAGGAGAACCTGTATGATTAAAGATTTAAAAGTAATTGAGCAGAACCTGAGATAAAGTACCCATTGCTTCTTTCACATATAAATCAGTACTTTCTTACTTTCTCAGTGCGGTTATTCTCACTACATTCACTCCTCGACAAACTGCAACACTTTTACAGGCAAACACAGTTCTTCTGAAATACTGCAGTATGATATGCATTGCTCACTGCCTTACAACGCTGTCTTTGAACTTCACCTCTCCTCCCAGTAACTCTATTTCCTGCAAGCAAACTGGATGGATGTTCCAAAAAGGGAATGATTTTCAAAAAGGTATTGAACACTGAAGACCCAAAGGAAGCCCATCTTCAACACTGTGGTTTACAAACCAGTGAATTCAAAACCTGTCAGTACTTGTAACGTAGCCACTAAGGAGCTGAACTGCATGATGTCTGGGCTTGCCAACAGGAAACTGGGGATCCTTTCCCTCAGCTGTGCACCTTCTGTGCTATCTAACTTCAAATACATCAATCCTCCATCCAGTTTACTGTCTGACTTCAATTAGAGATACCACTTTGAGGGCAGCGCTTGAACGACAAAAATACAAAGCCGAGAAAACAATAATTTGATTTCCTCCACCACTGCCACAGTACAAGTGCAGTGTATCAGTGTACACGTGGTACAGTTTGTGCTATTACTGAGACAGTGTAAACTGCAGAAAGCACAAGCAAAGTTTCAGCAATATAAAGCATCTTTAACATTGACTTCTCCTTACTTTTCTTCTTCATTATTATGTCTCTTCCTTTCATATCCCCCTATCTTTCAACTTAATTTACTGCAGGCTTTAAAAGGCACAATTTGATGGCAGTAAAGTTGATGAAAATATAACACAAAGCACATCTTATCCTAAAGAAATCCAACTGATATAAAAACTATCAAAGAAACTTTATGAGTGTGATAATGTAACAAAGAAAAAGATACCAAAGTAGCTGACACCTCCTCCTAGTTCTATTTCAGCTTTACAGCAAGAAAAGGCCACAGTGGGATGAAAGAGAAGCCAGGTGACCTGCAGCAGTGCTGGAAGCAAGATAAGAAAAAGCCACCAAGAAAATCTAAGGAAACAGATTCGGGTAGAGAACACTTTCCTTTTGCAACCTGCTGCCTGTGCATGGAGCGCAGAGACAATGAAACCTATTGAATAATTCAGTGATGGCTGCATTCTCGCTGAGCACAGAAGATGCTTGTAGACACTACAGAAGATTCATCCTGTTATTCCCCAAGGTAATAGGAGAGACCACAAAGAATCATCCTCCTCTTCAAAATCTCATCTAGGTCAGCCATCATGTCAGACAAGTGATGTGATACTAAGACCATCTGATAAACTGAGGCCAAGCAGGACTTCTTACTACACTTCCATGGTTTGGGAAGGGAGACTCACATGGGAAATTGTATCAAAAATTCAATGTACATATCTCTTGTGCCTTCTGGCTAGATCTCTGCAGCATCTTCAAAGTGCACAAGCCCCACATTTGGGGACGTGCTGCCTTAAAGCTCCTTTTCCAACTCTGGATCAAAGGTTCAACTAGAGACCAGAACCAGATAACTGCAGGAAAGACAAAAAAGACTAAACACAACTGCAACAAATGCTCCTAAATTATGAAAACCCCTTTTTCTCTTTTTTTTCGTAATGCTTAGCTCCCATATCAGCCATTGGAGTGGGGCCCTGTCTCTTCATGGATAGATTTCTGAAACTGTGCTAGTCTGACAGTCTGCCTGCCAGACTTCTTTCAGTTTGATGAAGCACCACACCGTGCTGTTTAAATCATCCATAGCTAATGGAAGGTTACAGATATGGAGAGTCTAGTGAAACCCAAACCCAAACAACTGCAGCTGAAACTATGCCTTACACTTTAATCCCGTACAGAAAGGAAAGTCTCCAAATCCCAGTCAGGGTGTAGCCACAACCACAGCTGTGCCATTACATTAAGGCTGACAAGCAGTACTGCCCTCTCTTCTAAAATTCACATTACAACAATATGTAAAAGTTATAAATGAGTAAATCATGAGGCAGGTACCCTAAAAATAAAAAGAGAATAGCTTTCCTTCCCTTCCCGGACCTCAGCGTTCAGGTTAGTGATTCTAAGTGTTTACATTCTGTGATAGAGCTAAAGGACAAAGTGGATTCCCTCTCATTTATTTCATACAGAGTGCCTGCCTAATCACCACCACGTCAATACATTGTAAATTACTAGGAGTACAGACAAGCATCAACATGAAGGAAGTGTAATAACTTGCATGAAGTAACGCAGTACCAAGCATTATTCTTATTTGCCAGCTAGCCATTTCAGAAGGCAGATAACATCCCTTAGGGACAAATCTTGACCTCATTTTTTTCCAAAATGCTCCCAAACATTTGACGTGACTTTATCTGGCTTGAGCAACAAGGAGAAGAGAAAAAGTCTCTCAAAACAATCTATTAAGACCTTTCAGCAACAGGCCCCTCTCCCCACAGCATACCACAAAACATACCACAGCACTTATCCTGCAATTAAAGAACAGTAATATCCTCCCTGATCTTATTAAAAAAAAATTCTCAGAAAACAACAAACTTTTGTTGGGCACTTTCAAATTAGTTTAAGAGGGGATGCCCCATCCACCACTTAATGGTAACATGATGCTGTTACAACCAGTAGCAAGAAGTAACACACATCAGGACATGACAAAGACCCAGTTACAGGATTCTGTAGCAAATCCTCAGCAGCAGAACGGGTTTAAATATCCTGGAAGGGTGAGTCAGGAGCTACAGATCCAAGTATAAAACTCTCTCCTAATCCAGATGGTGAGATTATGTTTTGGATGGAGAGAGCCAGTGCTTTGAATTCTCTCTCTCCTGTCACCCCCTGCCCCTGCCATATGCTGCCTCTTCTTTGCTTTACTAGCTAGGGTTTCTCTTCCCACCCCCCAACTGCTTCATTCTCTCTCTGGCAGGCAGTCAATTCCTCAGGCTGTGTGTGTTATCACCCTGCAGCCCATAAAGTACTCACTCTGAGCTCTCGCTGCTGCTGCCAGTCGCAGAGCTGCTGTGCTGATCGCCCTGGCCCAAAACCCGGACCCCTAAGGACCTGACAGCCCGCATCAGAATCTTCTCCATTGCTTCAACCGAGAGCTTCTCCAGGACGATCACCCGGCATCGGCTCAGAAGAGCGGCGTTGACTTGGAAGGAAGGGTTTTCTGTGGTCGCTCCTATCAGTGTCACAGTCCCACACTCAACGTGAGGAAGGAAAGTGTCCTGAGGATGGGAGGGAAGCAGAAAAAGCTGATCTCAATCAATGACAACTTGAAACATCCTATGTGAGTAAGCTACATTTTTTGCATCTTGTGAGTCTTTGGTTCACTGTTGATATGACAAATAACCTCACTGACAAGGTAGCTCATCTGCTCAGCTATCTCAATGATTTCATGCACAGAGCACATTACGGGCTGTTCACCATAATAATTCATGCTTGCACTGAGAATGTCCCTACCAGCTGAAAAGAAATAGTGTCAAAAATCTGCAAATTTTTAGTTTCCTTATGTGACTTTGGTTTATTGCTTGGCAAACATAAGATACCAGAAATTGCCTTATCAAATATAAGTGAGACTACTTCTAAATACTCTTTGAATCAACTTTTAGGGCTACAATTCCCTACATAATTCTATAGGATGGCTCAGAAAACTACAGGAAGATTGCAGTATGGTTCAATATAAAAACTGTAACTTGTAGTACAGAATTCAAGCTTTCCACGGTATGACTAAAGAAAATTTATAACTAGCAAAGCAAAAAGAAAAAAAACACCCAAGTGATGGCTGCAGCAACATGTTATCCCAAAGTACCATGCCATGCCTTATTTTTTTCTTTTCTCGAAGAGGAGACAACATTAAAACACACACCCACCCTAGGCACATTCACATTTCAGATCTTCTTGAAGGTAATGCAGAATGCTACCCCCAAGGTGGAGGCTGAGTGGAAGATGTGTGCAGCAAACATTACTAACATGACTGTGCAGAAATAAGATTTCAGAAAAACGTCATATAAAGCCTAGTGCACAAGTCAACTATAAGTATAGCTGAATCTTTGAATCACAATAATTAAGCATTGATTGGAAGTTAGTTATGGACTTTAATTTTTATGCTTCTCCCCAATTCATTTACTGAAATCATCAAAATAAAAAGCCCAAAGTAAGCTATCATCTTAAGGGAAAGTGGGAAAATTTCACGAAGTGCTGACAAAGGCTTTTTCCAAAAAACATAATAGTACAATACCTGCTGAGATTTATTGAAACGATGGATCTCGTCAATAAAGAGGATAGTTTTTCTCTTGAAGAGTCTTTTTTCATTCTGGGCTTGGCTGATGACATCTCGAACATCATTTGTCTTGGCACTTGTGGCCGACAGTGTCACAAATCTCATGCCGTTCTTTTTGCTGCTGTTGGCTATGATGTGTGCCAGTGTAGTCTGAAACAGCAACAGGAGAAAGCTTTGTAAGAATCATTTTGGACACAGACAGTACTCATTTGAAGGAAATATGTAAAGAACAAAGCTATATATTCTGGACATAGGGACAGTGTTGACAGTTATAGAGTAAGGTATTTTAGTTCATGCTATTCTAGCACACAGAAGACTCACAAACTTCCTGCTAGAGGTAGCTGCCAATTCCACCACTGCATTTCTAATGCCTGCACTTTTACATACCAGACCTATTCAGTCTTAATATTGAAAAGGCCAGTAAATGACAGCTGTCTCCTTTACCACAGAAGAACAACTCTTTGCCAAATACCTTTCTGTCACTGGAGACAGGCTGATTGCAATTTGCTGTGCAGTTATTTTGTAGAGTATGTTAATGGATAAAGAGCTGGACTGCCCCAGGACACCTGCAGAAGAGTTCACAGTGCAATCATATTTAAGAAATAAAAAGCTACAATGTTGTTAATGAAAGCTTTTCCTATTTCCACTGCACATAAAAATGAATCAGACAGTAGTTCCCTACAAAAGCATGAGAATGTTAGTACTGAAAAGTTAGATGTATACTTAAGAAAATGTAACTCTCTAAGATCTAAATAGTGAACAGTAATCAAATGCTGTCCCAGGGAAGTAAAAGGCAGCTGACTGAACAAACTGTTGGCTGGTTTTAGTGAGCAGCTATGCTGTTTTTCCTTTGCTTATAGACAACTCCTTCAAATCAGAGTTTATTTATAGGAAATTTCACAGAGCCTACCAAAGCACAGAAGCAACCTTCGATATTACCTCCTAGGCAGATTTACTATAGCTGAACACATAACAGGCATAATTTTCGGACTTTCCTTCACAACCCTTAGTAAGGCAGGTGTACCTGCATGTCCCAAGCAAAGTGTATCTCTATTTGAAAGTAATGCTAGAGAAAAACAGATGATTCTTCCATCGAGCTCATTCTCCTATTAAAGAAGGAGCCCAAGGAGACTGAAGACAGGAAAGCCTCAGCAGATGAGTGGGACAGGTGCTGACAAAACTGCTTCAGAAGATACTCCCAGTACTGAGGTTAAAGCAGCAGGTGCTGCCAACCCCGATCCTCTTGCAGGGAGGCTGCAAAAGCAACCACCTACCACATAGCTACCAGCAGTGATGCAGCACTGCTCTGTCTCTTTAACAGATCTCCTCATCCCTGAAATGGCAACCTGCCCAAGATGGGAAAACAGAGGCTAAGGGAAAGGATGTATCACTATCTATTCTTGCTTTAGTTTTAGTAAGGCCTTCCTGATAGTCTTCAGAAGAGGTGTCATTTCAGGTCCTGATACAAGACTCATATCCTGCGTTAGATCCTCTCTCAACCACTGGAGCTCAAAGCCCCAGCTTCTCCTCCTTGTATCGCTGCAGAAGACAAGACTGGAAGGAAATGCTGGAAAGTGCTTGCGGCAAAGCCTACAGAAATCAGGAAGATCTGGAAAACCAAAAAACAGAAGTGAAACTGTCTTTGAAACTAAGCTAACAAAACAAAACCAAAATTGGTGTTTCCTTACAAAAGGGCCTTGATTCAGAATGTACGTTCAGAGGATGTACTCATGCCTTAAAAAGCGCTGAAAGCATGGAGACCCCCAATACACCAAATCTGAGGATGGAAAAGGAAAAACGTACCTCTTCTTTCTCTGAAAGTGGCAGTGCTGAGAGGTGAAAAAATTAAAAAAAAAAATAAAAAACTTGAATGAAACTTAAATCAATGATGAGCTACTTGAACTGGTAGCTTATCCTGCATCCTGGCCCTCATTCACCAGATCAGACAGTCTTGCTGTTTAAAAAAAAAACAACAGAGAGGAATTGTTTTTAAATACATGCACAGGAGTCCTTGTTTCTACTCCTACTTTAGGAAAAACAAATACAAAGAGATGTGTTTCAAAGTTACTATTAGACCAAGGATCTACTTGAAAATTGCTGCACAGCTCTTAGTCAGAATGTGCCTCTTGCACCCTGCCAACTTCTGGGTCAACAAAGGTTGCAGTAGGAATAACATACATTGCCTTTCAAAAGCAGCGCTTGGCATGGACAAGCACGTTCATGGCCTCTTCCTTCTGTTCTGCACAATCAATCATTTAGCAAGTCAAACTGCCCATCACGTACAGGTCAAACTTTCCCTGTTCCTCTGAAAGCCTACTATTTCCCATGAGCTCAATGATTTCATGCTGCTTTTTCTCCTACCATCTCAAGCAAAAGTCAGCAACATGCTACACTGTTTTCTCCCTCTTTGTTACTATCAGGTTACAACCTAGGGAACAGAGAACCCAGGGAAGACAATTTAAGCAGGGTAGCCCAAGTATGAAGGCACTAGCACAGAACTGCAACTAGTGTGCTAAACCCCTAGTTTCTCTCACTAAATTCAGTGGCAATGTATCTGAGGGATAAGAAAAAAAAATTAAAATTTTATGGAATAAGACAGAAGAAAAGACACTGAATATCCATCATTTGAAATAAATTTTGAAGTAGGATTGATTGTTACATTGGAAAAGTCTTTTAAAATAGTGACACTGATGATAGAATTTAATATGAATGAATACATCCATACCAGAACCAAGCAGGAAGAGGAAATCTAAACAAGCTGATATTCTGCTACTTTTGTTATACAGGTATTTCTTCTTTAGATCACGTTTTTTCCTTATGGGGAGGAGCAAAATTATTGTTTCCTGTAAGTTAAGTGGTATTTATATCAATGAGAATAGGAGTGATCCTGTAAACTAACCTTTTGCTAACTTCACTAAAAATTACACTTTACAAAGCTCACAGTGTAATATCCTTGCCCCTTCCAGAAATCATTCTCAGTTCTCTTCTCTTATCCCACCAAACTGTCCAAACTCACACTTATCATCTCAAGTTTTATGCCGAAAATTGCAAGACCTTTCTGACTTACCTGTTTAGACACGCTAAAGAAGTGCCATCACAAGGAGCCTTTCTGAAACACGCAAACATATCTACCAAGAAACTCAAGAACCATCACACACCAACGAATATTACTTTCAACTTGAGGCCGTGGTCACTTATTTCCAGGTCCATTACATACAGAACAAACACTTAATTACCAACACTCTCCTCCACCATCCTGCAAATTTCTTCATGTCAGCCCAAATGAGAATATCCTTTCCCAAAGGCTGCAACCATCCAAGATTTACAAAACCCCACCAACCAAACAAAAAAATAGCCAGACAAGCCCATTCCCAGCAACTACGCTGTCAGTTCTTCCCAGCTTCAATACGAGTTATGGATGAAACAGAAGTAACCTAAAAAGTGTGCTTAGCTCCACACACCTCTCACTGTCAGATAAGTCAATCAATTTGGTCAGTTGGATGTTTGTACTAGGAGACAAAAATTTTCTGTATATCCACAAGTTTCCTTGACTGGGCAACTCTCTTTGAGTGTAACCTATTTCCCTATTCTCTGCGCTACCACTAGTCAATGCAACCTCACATCCACGGCTGGAAGAAAACAGTAAAAAGCAAGTACAAATTAAGCCAAGAGGACACTGATGTACAATGACTAACATTACCCACTTGGAAGTAAGGTGGTGTTTTCATTTTTGCAGCTCTTTACCAGGCCACTAAACAATGCCCACTGCATCAGCTCACAAAAGCCCCTTCCAGGAATAAAGAGTAGTACTGCCCAGCTCTCTTCAGAAAGTGGAATTCAAAAACTGGAAAGAGATCAGCGTATATTGATTGTCAGATCATAGTCAAGAAGTTGACTGTGAAACCTAAGGTCATTCTCACCTCACTCTTGCGGAAAATCAGGCGGACCTTGTTTAGGGATCAGCCGACGGGTGCCTGTTCATAGAGACTTTCTTTACTAATTCTTAAATTGTTAAATTTAGCACAACAGCCATTGTAGATGCCAGTCACATAAAACATATGGTCTCTTAGGTTACATCTATACTGTGTTCAGCAGTCATGCTAGAGAGCTCCTGCAAGGTGTGCAGAACAGCTCACAGTGGTTCTGTTCCAGCCTCACAGCCCTTTTCACCTCTCACAGCCTTCTCATGAGGAGCTGACATTCATTCTACACTTTACGGGAGCACACTGGTGCAAGAGCTCTCCTTCCACCTGGATGGGCCCTTCCAACATATGTGCTTCTCCCAGCAAGTCTGGAAGGTTGTATGGTCTGCTAGGCCATGTTTAGATGACTAAAGCAGATCTGGCACAGATCTGCACTAGTGTACAGACTGCAGTGCAACATGGATTATTCCTGAGCAGGGATAATCTCATTGGCATTTAGGCTTCCCCACCAAGTGACTTTGCTGGTTTGTCCAGAGCAAACCACAGTGTGAATTATGTTTGCAGCAGCGATGACAAAAGACTGACAGCCTAGTGCAAAACACAAGCCCAACAAGCTAGCTACACCTATATACTTGCAGGGCCTCAACTACATTATGAGAGTTCTGAACTGGCATCCTGCTTTCTTCTGCTGCCTTCTGACCATGACCTTCCCTATATTTTTGCCTTTTCCTTTTTTCTGGCCAGGATTTCCATACCTTTGCTTACATGGTGTTGCCATCAATGGCCTCTCCTCACACTCAACCCTCCCTTTGAGGGCAGCGAGGCCATACTGTGATTGACAAGCACTCAGGAAAGGCCATACTGTTTCACTCACTGCGTTGAGCGAGACACCAACAGTGCCAGCATCCTTGGATGCCAGCCAGGGGAGTGGTTCCCTGGGATGCAGCTTAAAAAGCTGGGGTCTGTCCTACCCAACACTGCTGAGCTGACCCCAAGCTACCACAGTATGTCACAGGAGATGAGCCAGGCTGTGCCTAAAGGAACCTGACAGAATAGCAGATGAACATGCCCCAGGGACGCTGTCTATAGAGATAAACACAATCAAAAGTGGCAGCAGTTGGCATTTACATAAGGGCAGATGCTATTCTTACCCATCTTGTTTGGTTCCTCACACCCCAAACAGCCCACTGTGAGACTACTGGAGGAGTAAGGTGTCACTGAACAACAGGCACAGCATGTGGTTTACAGCACTTCCAGCATCCAAGTCAGACCAAGCATAAACAGATGCAAGGTCATTGCATAATGTTTACTGAAATGGAGCTGTGCCTCCATTTGATGCATCCAGATTTGTCTCCTTATATTCCAACTGTTTTCAAATACAATTGTATTTTCTCTTCCAGTAATCTGTTCCTAGAGAGCTACCCTGTTATTCTTGATTTAGACTGGCATAAGCAAAACCAAGCACACTGTATTTGAAGACTTCTCCCAAGCAACTGCAGAGACAAACCCATTTTTCAGAGTTGTTCTGGAGTTTCACTCTATGCACCTGTAAAAGAACTCCTGCATTTTCAGTTTATAATCTCATGGTAATCAATCAGAAGAACTCATTACTTCAAACAGTTCAAAGTAGGCCACAAGCAGCATGAATGAAAGAAGATGAAATACACTCAAGTAATCAAATAGCCATTTAGGTAAACACTTGACTTAGCAAAACGGAAAATGCTGGAGGGAAGATAAATATGCAGGGAGCAAAATACGTAATTTGGACTTGCTGTCCGTGTTTCAATGTGTCATATAGCAAAGTCTTGAATTAAAAAAAGACAAGAAATACAAGGGAGTCCCAGAAATAAAATATAAACTCAGTGGAGATTTGACAGAAACTTCAAAGACTGCTTACTGGGGTTTTTAGTGTTTTGCACTCATATCAACAGGGTGTATTTCACCTTATTACTACACTGCAGATACGGATCCCAGAAAATCAGGCGTGAATGTTCTTTGTCTTATCTTTTGTAGGGGAGCACGTTCCAGACATTTGCTGCCTACATTTTTTCTTGTTAAATGGCAAACATAAGAGGGAATGTTTACTGTATTTAAATACAGAATGTTCAGGTTTGTAAGGCTTAAACCGTATCTGTGGCAGCAAAATTATTCAGTGCTCAAGTTACACTGTGTCCCCCTGCTAACCCTTTACTAAAATTGGTGCCCCATGGCAGACAAGCAAAAATCTAAATCCCTGCATTAAGGTGTCATAAATCACAGTACAGCTTACTCGGATTACACTAGGATTCATACAGGGTTTTTAAAATTTGCATCGTCAGGATGAACAAGCTAACTGTTCCTAAGTTAATAATCATGGCATCTCTTTGAGGCAGTGTTTCTTCTTCTGGCCTGTGTCTGGTCAGCTTCTTAAAAGCAGAAAATACATTCTTGTGTTCAACACTTAACAGTGACAAAAGTAAAAACAAAGAGTCAAAGCCTTCTCACCTAGAGCACCTTGGCTTCCTAAGAAATTAGAATGACAAATTAAATGTACAAAGATCACACTCCCCTAAAATTAAGACTCAATACAGATGGAAACTCAAATGAAAACAAACTCACAACAGAAGTACCCTGATTTTGTCTTCTCAATTTTGATTGTGCTTCCTTGAACATTCCAGTGCAGCTGAGGCTGAAATCAGCTGGGGCAGAGCAGTACAAAGCACATGTATTTTTACTCAGGTACCTGGCTTTATTACTTCCATGATAAAAATTCTCCAAAAGTACTCTTGACCTACAATACGAAATACTGCATTTATAGCAGTTTAATAGCCAAGATTATTCTCTTCTTGCTTAGAGAAAGTCTATTGAAGTACTACTTCTCATAAAGGTCCAGATCGATAAATAATACATAAATTGAGATTTGGCCGAAGGATTAATTCCATCTCCAGTTCTTAATTTTTTTTTACTTGGTCCTGCTCTACCCTTTTCAAAAGAAGTATCAGTTAACATGGCATTTGGCTGTAGAAATGGAAGAAAGCATAGATGGGCTGCAACATCCAGATCCCATGGGTAGCAGGAGTGTGGAGAGGTTTATGGAGTCTGTGACCATCTTACACAGCACTTCTGAATTTAGACCAACATATCTAATTATACTCCTATTTTAGCACCTACCCTCTAATGTAAGGCTATTTTCTTTGAGGGGCAGAGCTTAGCACGTGGGCTTGTTACATACGAAGCTACATAATATGCAATTATTTCTTAATATTTTTCCCACTGAAAAAGACTGTATTTAACAGAAGTTTTTGATTATCAGTCCAACCAGGTCCTGAGACAGTGAGAACACTTATTTCTCCTTCACAAGATCTTTCAAGTTTTAAGCACCAAGTTACACAATTCTTCACATAAAAAGAAAAACAGGTTTCCTTTCCATCTGTCCATTCTCCACCTGTTTCAGGTTACTTCCTCATGAAATGTTTCCTTAGACATGTTATAAACATACAACCCAAACAGCAAGTGAATGTGGCAGGCAGGCAACCACAGACTTCTTTTTCCATCTTAGGGTGACTATTTTGCCTTGCATATTAAATCTGTAAGGACAGGAATTTAATGAAAAAAAAAAATCCAAGAAAAGGACAGAACTCTCAGCCATTTACCTAAGACAGACAATATGATTTATGGGGAAGAAAGCCTGAGATGAAACTGCACCCTACCACCATCCTAGAAATATTGATAAGCATGGGTGAAGGGAAAAGTTCAACTTTGTGCAGTAGGAATTTCTGGTTCAGCCAGTAATGGATGGTCCACCAAGAGCTAGCTGAAAGCATATAGCCTCAAAAATGTTTGCTGAGAAGGAATAACCCAGAAAGGAGATGAGCTACCCAATAGTTTAAGTACTTGGAGAGAGAAAATGTAACAGATAAATTGTAGAACCGTTCCTTGATGGGGCAAAAGGCACAGTCCTCATGCAAGCTGGATGACTGATGAGCAGTCGAATTTAAACTCTGTGAGAAGCAAGCTTACTAAATACAAGTCTGCATAAGGCATATGGGTGAAGAAGACGGGTCATGAGAAAGGACAGTGAAAGTTGCATCATCACAGGCATGAAAAAGACACGCTTAATACCACAGAATGTTTCCAAAGCAGACCTGAAACACAAGCATAAGCTGTCACAAGCTCATGAAAAACCATTTCCATAGCCAAAAAAAGGTGGGTTCATGAGATCACAACCAATGGCTCTGGAATTCAGTTCTAATTTCAGAGACTGTATGCAGCCTTCGCTTTGTTATCACTGTATTTGTAACAGCATTTTTTTGTGAGCGAAAAGGGCTTCGAGAAAAAGCAAGCAGACACTGTTGCACAGATAACAAGAAAACAAAGGCAGGAGGGTACAGAAGCAGGCCCTGAACATGCTACTCCTCCAATAAGGTGGACACCTATTTATTAAAGAATTCAATTCCACCTCTCTCTGGTCATCTTGCTTCAGGCAATCCACCTCACCTTTAATGAGTTTTTAGAAAAGACCTTCTTTATGTCATCTCCTCTGATCTTACCTTGTTATTTTAAAGGAAGTGGCAATTATTTAAGTTCACCAGCTGGTCCCTTCCAGGTGTATGTTACCCAGCCTAAGCAACCTGTTGCATCATTACTAACAGTATTCATCTATCACTTATCCCTATACCAGCTCCTTATTAAATGTGATTAACTGGCATTATTATTCAAACACCATACAATCAAGTCTCTTTTTATCTTCAAGTAAGTATGCTGAGAAGAGAAAGCTGCTGCTCTGTCCTTAACTTCTCCACTAGCATTAATTCATTAGTCATTATTTTCCCTATCCCAGATTTCCCACACATGCTCTCACACACAGCCAAGGCAAACCTGAGCACTGTGCACACATTAGGCTGCCAGAGATAACCATGTATTTTGCTTGCTTAGCTTCCCCCCTGCCCCCCCACCAAATCTTAAAAAAAAAGGACAAAATGAAGGTCAGATCTTCCAGTGCTCCCTCCTGACCCCACCTGGGGTACTCATGTGGTCCTTCCCTCACTAAGCTGTGGATCCCTTCACTGCTGCGCTGCAATTATAGTGCCTTTTGGGATTCATCACTGTCTGTTCCTCCTCTCTTAAATAAGGCAGAACAAGAACACGTAGCAGTCAGATCTTGCATGGCCCCATCAGTTTCAGAGTGTTTGTCTGAAGGTGGATGAGTACCTGGCCACAATATAAGCTCACTTCCACTCCAGAGTCTTTTTCTGTCAGGGGTTGGAATTTGTGGGCTAAAGCAAACCTTGTTCTCGTAAACTGTGCTGTAGCAATCTGCTGGTATTTTACCCCATTCCCTAGACAAACTCAGCCATTACCTAAAACACAGCTTATGTTTCAGGTACTGGCTTTGGAGTTTACAAAATCCAAGTTATCTGAAACCAACAGGGGCCTGTGCAACTCAAGCAGAAGCTGCAGGGAGTGGGGCTGGTGGGGGTGAACCACTTCTGTTTTATTCAGGAGGCTGGCTGTGTTCTTGTAATCTAAATGAAAACTGATGGGCATCAGCTAACATAAAGACATTACAGAAGAAACCAAGAAGACAGAGAAAGAAGAGCGAGTTCGAAAATAAACAGCTCATCAGCTCATCAGCCACATGAAACGAGGAAGGGCCTGAACATCCAACCTGCACGTGTGTGAACCTGCCGGCGGGAGCAGGGGCGGCGGGGCCTGGCGGCGCCACTCACCTTGCCGCAGCCAGGTGGCCCCCAGAGGATGAGGGAGGGGATTTCGTGGGACTCCA